GGGTTACTTTAGGTGTTGGAAATGGTAGAAATAGCGAAGTTGTCAGCTTTAATTAAGGACAGATCATTGATGAACATTAGAACAATTTGGAAGCCCTTATTGGAATTTCTGTTCAACAAGGAAAAAGATGAACTGATGGTATGTGACTTCGAATTCTAGAGATTTTAGATATAAATTATGACACTCCTGAGTATGGACTATTTTGACACAGTGGATACTAATTTGGAAGTACTCACTATAAATAAGTGAAGGAATAATTAGTAAATTGTGTAACAAACAATGGGAATTTCTATAACATATCTGTTTTGAATAATTTGTCAAACTGGTTTGCTCCTATTTGAACCCCCTTCCCTTTAGTGTATCCCTTGTGTGAGAAACTTAATAAAAATTATTCAGAAACTTGCTTCAGTGAAAGCATTCCAGTTGCTCAGTGAGGGATTAGTGAGGTTGGGGCCAGTTCTTGTTGAGGTCGTAAGCTGTCTTTGGATCTATCACTTCAGATGGCTAGTGGAGATTCACATGGCTTTCTGTAGTATTCTGGGATCATGGGAAAAACTTAAGTTGGAACCTTTCTTCTCAAGTCTAGTTTTCTGGGAATTTGTTATATGTCAAAGCATTTAGGCATGCATTTCCCCCACTTACTGCCTGAAGCAATGAAACCCAATAAGCAGTAGATGACCTAGAACAACGTGGTTCCCAACCCTGAGTCATGCAAGTGATCTTGGACTGCAACTCTCAGAAGCCTTGTCACTAGCTGTGCTGGCCGGGGTTTCTTGGAGTTGTAGTTCAAGGACACCCGGGTTATCCAAAGTTGAGAAGCACTCTCGTAGAAAAACTAAGTTCAAGTGTACATGTCTGAAAAGTTCTTAACCACAAAACTGCCCATATCTTCCAATTTCAGGAATGTATATGTGCCAAAAAAATATAATACAGCCATTTGATAGGGTGAAGCTGGGGTGAAAAAGATCCATTTGAAGTCTGAGCCAGGTGCTGCCTGTATTACAAGCAAAAAACAAAAAACAAAAAAACACAACACATTGTTTTAATCAGTGACTTGTACTTTTCAATCTTGTGCTGAGGGCACACTGGATTTTTGTCTAGAAATTGTAGGACTGTATACAGCTCCCAGCCACTGTGACTCTCATTTGCCAAGTGCAGCATATAGTATCCCTGGGGTATGGTGCCAAGATCAGGACAATTTGGAAAAAGGAGAAGAATCACTTGTCATTTCTGTGCAGGGTGGATAGCAGCCAACATGATTACTCTGGATCGGGAAGATTTTCTGTTTGTGGGAGGGATTGTTCCATGAGCCAAAGAGCACCTTCCCTTCCGTCTGGCAGCTCTGGATGTTGCTGTGATCTTTCTGTTACATGCGGTAGAAACATGACAAAGGATCACAGAACAAGCTTAGTTTCTTGTTATACTCTTGCATACGTCATTCAAGTTAAGTATGGGGCTTACTTAAGTGTCGATTTAACGAGTCTTCTCTTTCCAATGAAATTACTCTGGTTGGGAATAATGATTGGATTTAACTTGCAGGTTTTTTTAAAAAAATGAAATCTACACCATAAACAGAGACATCACATCGTAGAGAGAAATGGTTTTAATGAGATAATTTCAAGCCAGATGTATTTCCAAAGAATAATCAAAGAGAAACATATCTTTCATATAGAAAAAAAAACCCAATGCCGTCTGCTCACAAAGGTCTTCAAATGCTCTCTGTCTTTTCTTTCCCAAGTCAAATTAGTTGAGTTTGCCATATAAAATGCAGACCTGTCCACAGTTCTTGATCCTCTTGGTGATTCTCAACACTTTACAAACTGTATTCTTATTATAAAAATTAACTTGCTAACTGAATCATTATTAGTTTTTGCCTTTCATAAAGCAGAGTGGAAAATTAATCTGTAAAGAAACTTTTTTTAAAAAAAAATTGTACCCTCTCCTCCCATCTCCATTTCTTCAGCTTTGAAAGCTGTTTGCTTAGCCTCACATTTATTTCACTAACTCATGCAGGTGTCTGATACCTGCAGTAAAAATATTCTCTGTTATTTTCTGGCAAGTTAATTTAGATAGTGAAGTTCATTTCTTTAATAAATCTTCCCATGTTTTCTCAGTTACAATCCCTAAATCTTTATCCCTTCTTGAATTTTCATAATTGATTTTTCTTTTTTTCAGATGTATCATCCTTCATGTAACAAATTAACGATTGCACTATGAAATTAATCAGGAGCTGGGGGGTTTTGAGGTCTGTTTAAAGTCATGCATTCTTGCATTTGAGGCTTTGTCCTATATCTGCCTCTCTTTACACTGGCTGCCTCTCACAGCCACTAGCTGCTGCCACTATGTCATTTCTAATTTATAGGTTTTTTTATTTCTTGTAATATGGCATAGCACTAGTTTAGCATGACAGAAAAAAATTAAAATGGAGCTTTCCCTGTAGCCCAATACACATGCATACAGAGAGACAGACACACATACACACACAGAGAGGGTAGAGAAGGCAGGTGGTCCAGAGAGACAGACAGAGAGACAGACACACATACACACACAAAGGGGGTGGAGAAGGCAGGTGGTTGAGAGTAAAGACACACCAGTGTGTGGCAAAGAGAAACAGATCACAGAAGTTGACAAGATCGGCAGCTTCTATGCTTGTGAAGGAGGGAGTGCTTTCCCCCACCAAACCTTTCTCTCTCTATTGGCTCTCTTTTCAGATTGGACTGCAAGGTTTTCCTGCAGCTTGAAATCTGTGATCCTGGCATCCATTACTTGACAAACCTCAAAGACACAATTTACACTGACACAGGCATTCAGATATGCCAAAACAATTAAAAAGAAATCAATTTCACAGGAAATTTAAAATAAATGACCTTCTTGTGGCTGAGTAAAATACCTTACTTTCCATCCAAAAAACACACTTCTGAGGCAAAAAAGCATGCACTTTGCTGTACGTTATGTAACTAGAATTTTAAAAATCTATTTCAAACCTGATTCAAGACCAGGTTTTCTTCCATGTGTAACCAAGCTCTTATTTTTGAAAATGGAAAGAATTTTCTTTGTTACAGAATATCTGGAGGCAACCAATGGTTATAGTAAGCATGCACATACACACATACAGACAGAGAGAATTCTATATAGCTTTTTTTGTACTATCTGCTTGGTTTCATTATTAAAAATATTTAAAAGTGCTAACATGATTTTTCTGAAAAGTTACAACATATGAAAAGGCATCTACACAGTAGTTATACATTGGCCACAATCCATTTTTGGATTTACAGTGGTATAAGTATAATTACATAAATCACAGTGGTAACCTGCTGCTAATTAATGAGTTATTGTTCACATTCCTAGTCTCATGATTTAGTACACAAATAGGAATGTAAGTGGCAACTTGTTAACTAGCAGCAATTTCCCTCTCTGGTTTATGTAAATATAGTTCTACCAGTGTAAACATGTAATATAGTTCTGATCATAATTGTAAATGAAAATTTGGAAATATATATTTCCAGGTGAGTGGAGAGAGTCCAAGTATCAATTGCAACTTCTGCCAAATATTTTTATGTGTAGTTTGTTTAGCTCTAATATATATACATAAGGTTTGTCCATCTTTTCTGACAAACAGATTAGGACCACTGTCAAAACTGGTAATTATACTAGCCTATCAAACAATGTATATCTAAAAATGAAATATTTAACTATTTACCACATTCACACAGGTTTTGTAAAATTTATTGATCTATGCTACAGCTTGGTCTTCATGTGGAGCCAGTTCCTCATGGTACTAATGTTAATTCTTCACCCTCCCTGACTGTAGAGGTGACAACAACCCAACCTTTGGGTGGCTTACACATAGAAAGAGGCGGGGTATAAATTAAATAAATAAATAAATAACGTGCATTGTGGACAAGAAGCTACCATTAGGACAGCATATGGAGGGACAGTAGTTTCCTAGAGGTAAAGATGTCAAACAACTGTGCTTTATATTCCCATATCCGGTTCAGCTTGTATGCAGAATATACCCTGCAGAAAATGAGACTAGATTCAGATGGAGGAGGAGAGAAAATTGGTGGAAGAAACGTCAGTAATTTTAGATATGCAGATGACATCATCTTACTGGCAGAAAGCAGAAAAGACTTGAAATGACTTTTAGTGAAAGAAGAAAGTGCCAAAGCAGTACTACAGCTGAACAAAAATCATGATTACAGATAAACTGTACAGCTTTAATGTTGACAATGAAGAAATAGAAACATTGAAATCCCAATGGAGACTTCAGCTAAGAAATCAGAACACTGAGCTTTGGAAGGGCAGCAATGAAGGAATTAGAAAAGATCCTCAGGTTTAAGGGTATGACACTAGACCAAGATCATCCACACTCTTGTATTCCTGATCAGCATGTATGGGTATGAAAGCTGGGCAGTAAAGAAAGCTGACAGGGAAAATATTGATTCGTTTGAAGTGTGGTGCTGGAGGAGAGGTTTCCGGATACCCTAGACTTCAGAAAGCCAAAAAGTTAGTCCTAGAGTGAATCAAGTGTGAACTATTTCTGGAAGCAAAAATGATGACACTCAGGCTCTTCCTACTTTGGGCACCTTATGAAAAAGACAAGAGTCTCTAGAAAAGATAATGCTAGGAAAGGTTGGAGGCACAGGAATAGAAGAAGGCTTGAGTTTACAAGTTCTGAGCTCGTCTGTTGAAGACAGGATATTTTGGAGATTGCTCATTTGTAGGGTTGCCTTAAGTTAGAGGTGACTTGGCGGCATATAACAACAACAATTCTCCATTATTTGTTTTTAGAATATATATATTTGTGGCATATATACTCAATGGGACAAAAAAGGTTCTGCAGGAGAAACAGTTGTTAAAGTATCCGGTAATAGTGATGTCATATTTCAGTATTTTTGAAGTTTCTTTCCATCGGAAAGCTGATCGGTTTTTATCTTTGCTCTCAATCGCTATTGTTTTGTTTTATAAGGGAAAGTAATCTCAGCCATTTTCATTTCTAGAAAAGCTGATTGCCTATCAAAGGGAGTTTCATGCTTTGAAAGAACGTCTTCGAATAGCTGAGCACCGGACCCTGCAGCGTTCCTCTGAATTAAATGCCATCTTGGAGCAATTCAGACGGGCAGTGGCAGAAACAAATGGAAGCAAGGATGCACTGAGCAGTGTTTCAGGTACAGGCAGATGTTTTTAAGAAGCAAAATAATTGTGCTAGTTCTTTCGTTTGTTTTCAGTCTATGTGTTTGCAAAAATCCATATGCTGACAAATTTTTAAATAATAACACACTATTAACTTCCCTGTCCTTAGAGATCATGTGTTTCCTTAGAGCATTGACAGAAACTAGGCTACTATAAACTTTATTTTTCCCAGACCTTGGTAGTAACTAGTTACAAATAATTAGTACCTTGGCTTTAAATCTGTTTCTTAATAATAGTAAGTAAAAGTATCACAATGCAGTGTAATTTTAACTTAATGAGAATTAATTTCACTCCTTGTCAATTGCATCAGTAAACTTTTAGTTATGGAGTTGCTACTTTACAAAAAGATAGAGAACAAACACATTATTCAAGTGTTGGCTCTTGTTACGTCTTGTGCTGTTGCTGGCTTTGTTTATTTTATATATATATAATGTTTAAGCAAACAGAGAAATAATGTACTTTTCATTCAGAGGTTATTGTTCCATTTATGTTACTACTCCTTTGATGTAATTTAAGGAGCTTTTGTTGTTACCTAGGGCCTGACAAATTCAGGCAACAAGTATCTAGAGCCATCTGAATTGTCACAATATAATCAGTGCACACCAACTGGACAGGCTATGATGTACATTCTGTTTTATTTCTATTAATCTCAACATGTAATTTTGTCTAAGAGTGGGTATTATAACAAGATCATTAATTTTCTTAAGGGGACAAGAAAAGCATTCATTTTGTCTGTACCTGAACTTGCTTTGGCAACATGATTATCAATTGATTGTTTGAGAAATGCAGATCCAACCACATTAGAGTACGTGTGATATAAAGCCAAATGAGTTGTGTGTTTTGCTTCCTTCCATGGAAATTGCCTGTGCAAATTTCTGTAGAGGCGAAATCAACCTGACCAGATCACAGCAGCTTCTGGTCTGGCCAGTTTCATGGTTAACAATGATCTGATTTTGGCCTATATACTCTGAATGTATAGTAGCCCCCCCCCTTAGCCATGCGACCAGTATCCACTGATTTATTTATCCACAGTCTGAAAATACTAAAAGAAAAAATATATATAGTGTTTGCTATAATCTGTGTTTTTCAGCAGCTGTGGGGGAGCTTGAAACAGATTCCCCATGGATATGGGCAATGTTCCCTCTAATGTTCAGCCCCGCTGGGCAGGGCTCAACCACTTGCGCACATGACTCTACTCCCTCCCTGTGCATATGACTCCACCCCCATGCGGGGTTCCATCATAACCGGAACCAAAGAGGCTGGAAACAGTTACTGTGGGTGTGTGGAGGGGGAGGAGCCCTGGTGGAGGTTGCAGAGTCATGCACATTTGCACAGCCATGTGGCTTAGAGGGTGTCTTGGATATAGGGCTCCCACTGTACTGCCAGTATGGTTTAACTCCCATATGCTGGTGCAGGAGATTAGTTCCTATGTATCTTTCTGTTCATTGCCCCCCCTTTTTTAAAGCTGTTTTCACATCAGACATTTAGTGTAGATTTTTCCATCTTTTTCATTACCCCCTCTTGCATGATGACAAGCGAGCAAAGATGCTGGCTGACCACATTTCCTGTTTCTGGAGTATGTGAGGATAATGCCCATGTGTAAGCAGCTGCCCAATGTGAGCCAAAGGTTTCTTTTAAGAAAAAGAATCTTCTCATTCTGATCTTAAATTTACACAGATTCTTCCATCGCTCTGCTCCTTGTTTCCTTGCCCCACCAAGCACTTTATTCTGGGGTCTTTCTCTTAATTGAAGTAAAGCAAAGTGGCCTTTCTTTCTTTAAAAAAAAAGTGGGGTGGGGTGTGAGGCATTCATTTGTTGTTACATCATTTGTCCCTAGATGTAATTTGCCTAGGGATATTGCAGAAAATGTTGCTTCCATTTCCAGCCGAATCATTATTTTCTGTTTCAAGGACCATCTAATTAATGGATTGTACTGTTGTTATCCTTTGTGCGGTATGGATCTGAAAATTGCCTCTGATTCTGTTTGGATTAGACTTTGGTTAGGGTTTGCTTTAAAGTCAATTTGATGGTGTAGCTCAGGGGTTGGAGTGCCTGAAACACCTGGCTGCAGAACCAGAGGCTTGGAGTTATGGTACCTCCTTAAAGAGTCCTGCCAAGATCACCAAGGCTGTGCATAGATGATGCGGTTGTGTGGCCTGTCCCCTGTGTGGCCTTTGGCAAGATGCATGTTCCCACATTACTACAAGAAAGAGGGACTGACTGGTAAACCACTTCTGATTACTTCCATGCACACCCACCCAAAAAATACACCTTAAGCTGTCTGGGTAGCTCAGTGGGTTAGGTGTGTGGCTATAGAGCCAAGGCTATGAGTTCAAATTCCCTACTGTATATCCCAGAAGAGTTAACGTGTGGCCTTAGACAAGCTGCACAGTCCCAGAAATACCCACAGAAGAAGGAAATGGTAAGCAACTTTTGAGGACTGTTTACGTAGAAAACTCTGAAATGGGTCGCCGTAAGTCAGAATTGACTTGATGGTGCAGAATTATTTAAAAAAAAACAAAACCTTGCAATGGCTGCCATAAGTAAGAATGGATTTGATGGCACATTATTGTTGCTAATTGATGAACACATAATTATGTAAAACCTCTCTGTCTCTCTTATGTTTGCAGATGAAACCTTAAAATTATTAAAGGAGCTAACAAGCAGAAAATCTCTTCAAGTGCCAAATATTTATTATCACTTGCCTCATTTATTGAAAAATGAAGGGAGCCTTCGACCTTCAGTGCAAGTTGGCCTTGGACGAACAGGAGGTAAAGTGGCAAGATGTATATAATTGATACAGTACAATGAAAGATGTGTGTGAAGCTTTGCTTGTTATAATAACAAGGCTCAGTAGAATTCCTGGCAAACAGATGATTAAAAGAATCTTGTCTTCTTTGTTGAGCTTCTCTTAGAATTCAGGTTGAATCCAAGATGAAAGAAGTTTGTCTTCAGTCTTCTCTTTTATTGTCCCATATGGATGCCTCACTTTTGATATTAAGGTATAATGGAAGCCACTGATCCGAAACAGCATGGCTTTTCCTAAAATTAAGTTGGGGAAAAAAATAACAATGCATGGAATTTTCACAAGCTTGTTAATGAGTAGATAGTGATTTTCATGCTGGTAAGCTTCATAGACCATGAAATGTAGAACAGAGAATTAGACCAACTCTAGTTGTTTTTTGCTTTTTGTGCGTATGTAAACAGCACCAGTAGTTCAAAGGAAATATTGTATTCACCCTGATCTTGTGAGTCCCTTCCTGATGGAGTTGTAAGCTTTTCTTTCTTTCTTTCTTTCTTTCTTTCTTTCTTTCTTTCTTTCTTTCTTTCTTTCTTTCTTTCTTTCTTTCTTTCTTTCTTTCTTTCTTTCTTTTTTTCTTTCTTTCTTTCTTTCTTTGCTCATACAGCACCAGTAGTTCAAAGGAAATATTGTATTCACCCTGATCTTGTGAGTCCCTTCCTGATGGAGTTGTAAGCTTTTCTTTCTTTCTTTCTTTCTTTCTTTCTTTCTTTCTTTCTTTCTTTCTTTCTTTCTTTCTTTCTTTCTTTCTTTCTTTCTTTCTTTCTTTCTTTCTTTCTTTCTTTCTTTCTTTCTTCGCTCATATAGTCTTGGCTTTTACATTTCTTTTCTTGCAATAACAGCTTCTCTAAAGCCCTTCAAGATGTTGTTTCTAATAGCCGTGAATCACTGTATTGGGCATTGTACATGGGGAAGGAGAAGTGTGGCGTACAGTTTAGATGTGATGCTGAAATATGTCTCCTGCTTAGAAACAATATTCAGAAAATTGTGACATGTCATGCAAAAGGCATATTTTATTCAGTCCAGAATCTGATGTTTTAAAGTGGGGAGAGAATGGCAGAGGAAGGGGGCTACATTGCCTCAGTCCTCAGTCACAGTATGTGTGCTATAGGATCTGTGTTCAGGATTCATTTCTTTTTTTCATGTGTGTGATTCTACTGAAGACAACTCCTGCAAAACAGATTAACAGGATCCAGTAGGGAGAATACCTCTTGGATATCTGCAGATCATTATTTGTTAATCTGTCACTTCGCTTTGCTTGTACTACTAAGTCCAAAATTTTAACAATCCATTTTATATTCCCTTTCTTGATCTTCGTAGAATAACTGGTTGTGGCAAGATTTCACATCTTTAGGCTGCAGACTGTTCCATTTAACAGGATGTGTGTACGTTAATGCATGTTAGGCATGAAAAGTACATTTTCAAGCCTTATGATATATGTGTTGGTTATATGTGCATGAACAGTGTTCTAAACTGAAAGTACTTTGGCAGCCAAAGGACATGTATGCTTTTCATACATCTCTTGCCAAAAAGTTGATTTTCAAATCTGCCCTGATTAGATTCTTGGGACATGAATTAGATGAGATACGCCCTGTACTGAACAACTGACATTTGTGGAAATTTGAACCTGAATGTTTCATATTGGAACATCACAGTATGAATGGGACCTTGTAGTTTATTAATTCAAGGATGTAAACATGCTTTCTAAGAAAAAAGGTGTGTGTGTGTGTGGGGGGGAAGCAGCAGTAACTGGGCAGCTTCAGGCGACCAGCTGCTTATTCATTCTGTGGCAGTTTTTATTTACAGTAGTTCTGCTATGGTTTCTTCCAGGAACAAAGGGCACAGGACAATCCACATTCCCCCTTATCTCACTATACATTAATAAGTGAGAATGCTGCAGGTCTTGAATGAAGAGTTGGCATGGAAGAGAGAGGAGAGTGTTAGTGGCAGGAGCTGAGAAAGAAACAGGGTGCCCTTAATATAATTTTTTAAAATTTTATTTATATCCCGCCTATCTGGTCAAACGAGGACCACTCGTTAGGCGGCTAAAAGTCTTAAAATAGTACAATAAAAATGTAAATAACAGTTCTAAATCATAAAACACTACAGTACAGTGTGAAAACACAAAACATAACACAGTAAAGGAGAAAGACAAAGGTCATGAATCTGTTATACTTCTGTCTATTTGTCACACATGGCCTATTTACAAACTTATTATTTTTTAATTTCCTCTAACTTCATTTTTTTTTTGTTTATGGTCTATTCTGTTTTTATTATACCTGTGACTTTTCACATGCCTTTGAGTTATGTTAAGGAAACACCAAGAACAATACCAGAAACTTACTATGTGTAGTACTAAATGTTGCATATCAAAGCCTTTTCTTTCCTGTTCAGTAAACGAAATGAATCATTCTGTGTTTGTTTTCAGTTTCTATAGTAATGGGAATTCCTACTGTAAAGAGAAAAGTAAAATCGTATCTTACAGAAACTCTTCACTCACTGATTGATAAGCTGACTCCAGAAGAAAAATTAGACACTGTTATGATTGTCTTCATAGGAGAGGTAATTCAATTATGTACATATTTTTAGATTGTTCTCTGTATTGTTCCATTAATTGTAGCACTCAGTCACTCAATCCTATGCTTTTGGTAGGTATCAGTCTTTATCTCTTGCTTATGTATAGTCACAGTTGCAATAATTACTTTGGTATTACTTATTTAAAAATTTATAGTTGCAATAATTACTTTGGTATTACTTATTTATTTGTAAAATTTATAAATTGCTTCACATCAAACTTTTCAAGGCAACATAAAATAACCAATTGGTGAAAAAAGGCACAATGGAAATGGAAGCTTTAATAAAGTGGTGGCTGGAAAATGTCAGGAAATCCTTATTTGGAAGAAAAATACTCTTGAGCAAAGATTCCACAGAGATGTGGAGGCTGTGCCTAACCTCAGTTGGCAAGACATTCTACATTATGGGAACTGATGCATTAAAGCAGGAGTAATAAACACAGAGAACAAAAGGAGCAGATAGTAAGGAATTAAAATGAGCAAATATATTTACATGGCCACAGGTTCTGTTGATCTGCATTCCAGTGCTACATGTATTTTCAAGAGCTTAGAGTTACTTATTTACCAGTTACTCATTATTTTTAATGAGTGACTTGTCAATATTCTTTCTAGTAATGAAAATATAACTGAATTACAATTATAAATTAGTACGGAATGACTTTATTTCTTTTACCATATGACTAAAAAAAATTTTTTTAGGATAAACTTCACTGTTATAGGGCCATAGCTTTACTAAATGGTGAAAGAGACATCATATAGATGTTTATTAACAGGTACTGTAATTCCTAGTGACTACTGTGTTTCCCCGAAAATAAGACAGGGTCTTCTATTAATTTTTGCTCCAAAAATCACATTAGGGCTTATTTTTAGGGGATGTTTAATTTTTTTCATGCACAACAATCTACATTTATTCAAATGTAGTCATTTCATCTTCTGGTTGCTGCACAATGGTGGAGGGTGGGATTTCACTTAACTGGGGCTTATTTTTGGGGTAGAGCTTATATTACGAGCATCCTGAGAAATCATACTAGGGCTTATTTTCAGGTTAGGTCCTACTTTCAGGGAAACAGGGTATTTTAACTATTTTTGAGGAATGGGAATGTAAACTTACTTCAAAATTATATCTATAACAACTATCTAGTTGGTATTATAATATATATAACTTCACTGTTTTTTAGGTAAATGTTCCAAATTTTGATATTTCCCCCTTTCCTGGGGTAGTTTTGTGCACTACACAGCCCATGCAAGCTTAGACCAAACAAAACTTGTCAGCCTTCAAGTCACCACAGGAATCTTTCTTATATTTGCTCTAAGAGAATTATATCTATAACAACTATCTAGTTGGTATTATAATATATATAACTTCACTGTTTTTTAGGTAAATGTTCCAAATTTTGATATTTCCCCCTTTCCTGGGGTAGTTTTGTGCACTACACAGCCCATGCAAGCTTAGACCAAACAAAACTTGTCAGCCTTCAAGTCACCACAGGAATCTTTCTTATATTTGCTCTAAGAGACTACTCTGTTGTTGTTGTTGTTGTTGTTGTTGTTGTTGTTGTTGTTGTTGTTGTTGTTGTTGTTGTTGTTGTTGTTGTTGTTGTTGTTGTTGTTGTTGTTGTTGTTGTTGTTAAAAATACTATGTACAGTCAATCAAAATTATAAAAACATTGATTGATATTCTATAACAGATACAGCTTTTTACAGATACAAGTTTTTCTTGTTGTTTGTTCATTAAATCAGTATGAAACAGATTGTGTGCATCAGCTACTTGTTAAATCATTGAACAAATTCCAAATAATAATTGTAAGAAAAATATGGATAACTGCTACGGAAAACCACAAGCAAAATATGCTATTTTAGAATGCATTAACAGAAGTATAGTCTTCAAATTCCATTAAGTACTAGTCTCCCTCTATCTTGTTGTTTGTTCATTAAATCAGTATGAAACAGATTGTGTGCATCAGCTACTTGTTAAATCATTGAACAAATTCCAAATAATAATTGTAAGAAAAATATGGATAACTGCTACGGAAAACCACAAGCAAAATATGCTATTTTAGAATGCATTAACAGAAGTATAGTCTTCAAATTCCATTAAGTACTAGTCTCCCTCTATCCAGCACTAGTTAGGCCTCAGTTAGAGAGTGTTGTGTCCAGTTCTGAACACCACACTTTAAGACGGATGCCAACAAATTGGAACAAGTTCAGAGGAGGGTGACAAGGGTGATCAAGGGACTGGAAATCAAGCTCTCTGAGGAAAGACTGAAAGAACTGGGCATATTCAGCCTTGAGAAAGGAAGACTGAGGGGAGATATGATAGCACTTTTCAAATACGTGAAAGGTATTCATACAGAGGAGGGGCAGAATCTGTTCTCAGTCATCTCAGAGTACAGGACACATGGGCTCAAGTTAAAGAAAGCCAGATTTAGGCTGAAAATCAGGAGAAACTTCCTAACTGTTAAATCAGTATGGCAATGAAACCAGTTACCATGGCAGGTAGTGAGCACTCAAGTGCTGGAGGCATTCAAGAGAAAATTGGACAACCATCTGTCTTATCTGCTTTGATTTGGATTCCTGCATTAAGCAGAGGATTGGATTTGATGGCCTTATAGGCCCCTTCCAACTCAGTTATTAATATGAGTCTATGATTCTATGAATTTTCATAGCTGTAAGGAGTTACGTTTGAGTATGAGCTCATAGGAAGCTGCCTTATTTCTAGAGAAAAGTCCATTCGATAGGCTCCAACTTGTTTTTCTGTTGTTAAATGGATCTCCATAAAGATTTATTCTTCTCAGTTATAACAGAGAGGTCACATAGAGTTCAAATCCATATGTCATAAATCTTAGGACCAGAACTCCACTCAGGGTTTTGTAGGCATATTCTTTTAAAGAATTTTAAACATTCTTCTGGAAATACAGTATCCTGAATATAAAAATAGACTAGCTGTTGGCTTGGATGGCGACTTATTTATTTATTTAAAATATTTTACCCCACTTTTTCCTTAAAAGGACCCAGGGTGGTTTAGATCATTAAAAAGAAAATACTGTATTTAAAAGCTAAAAACTGTAAGTATGCAATAATATAAGAATTAAACAAGTATTATGTTAGAAATGGTAAATAAAATGAAAACTAAAAACACATTTAAAAACAACAGAGCAAAACAAACCATTAAAAAAAAACCTTCTCAGACAGCCAGTCACCGAGGAAAGTCCTGCCTGAAGAGAAAGGACTTTACTTACTTTAGAAGATGGGGGCCAGCCTGGCTTCCCATGGGAGGGCATCTGGGAGCAGCAGCAGAGAAGTCCCCCTTCTGTGTCCCTACCAAGTGCCCCTGTGAGAGTGGCGGGACCAAGAGAAAGGCCTCCCCTGATGATCTTAATGCCCAGGCAGGCTCATCAAGGGAGATGCCATATTGTCTATAGCTTGGACTTGCTGCTCGTATTAACTGTAAGGATTTTTTTTTTGGAGAGACATACATTCCAACACACCTGCTGGACATTATGTACGTATGTTCTGTTCACTTTGGGCAGTTATCTTCGTAATATATGTATTTTAAATTGGACTGCACCATGAAAGGGTTTGAATTGCACTGTTAACGAATATGCGGTGAAGCATCCAGAGGGAGCCACATAAAGCTGGATAATTGTAAGTCCAAATACATGTCTCTTTACTCAGAGCCAAATCCCACTTAGCTCCATGAGTCTTAAATCCAGCAGAGCTTGAAAAGGTTGCCCTGTAGAACACAGTCCCCCATCCAGCAGGGCTGCTGTTCATACTGGCTAGGGGATTCTAGGAACGATAGCCCTGGAAATTAAATTTTTGATCTCTAATGCCCAGTTAAACATACATGGAATTGTAGCTCAAGACCTTCGTATATTTGATTAGTGTCACATATTCCACATCCATTCTGTTTGGCAGCAACATCTTATTTTAGTTGTGTATTGCACACTACGCTGAAAGTGTGGAGAGAATAGGCAGAAGAGCCGTGAGCCTTATGCTGTCTTGCTGACTCTGGAACTGGATTTGTCAGAACGTCATTTAATGGCTAAAATGTGGTTGGGCATCCACTGACAGAAAAGCCTTTAATGGCAGCCAGATGAATGTTAGAGGAAACCTGGCAGGTTTCTGTGTAGAACGACTTTTTCTTTTCTTTGACCTCATAAATTCATAACTGTGACGCTTGGAAGAGATTGCTTAAACAAACTTCGTTGAAACTATCAATGCACTGCTTTGTAAGATGACTTGAACTGCACAAAACGGTCATTGTGGGCTGTTTTTACCATTTGGAGAAAAGGTGTCCTATTTGCTAACCAAGGCAGACAGCTCAGCAAATAGACTGTTAGACTGCTGCAGTAAATCCACATATTGCTTCTTTAATATACTGTACCAAAATCTGTTACTAATATTGAGTTTTGAATAGGAACTGAGTTAGCATGGACATTGTGCAGGCCTCTGTTTGGCACAGTCTGCTTCTGAATAACATGTAAAAGAGGGTACCACCTTCTCAAAGCAGAAACAGATGTGAAGGTAGCTTTGTGATTTAGTAGAGGCAGGTTGGCCCTTCTGTTGCAGCAGGTAACCCTGTCCTACTACGTGATGCTTTGGTGCAAGACAATTAGGGCAGATCTGCTTCTTCAGTGCTGAAGAAGCACAATGTACCACCTATGGTATTGCTATGCAGAAGTAAAATAATCTAAAGGTGTTGGGCACTTTTAAAAATGGTTAGATAAGTACACTTCATGGCATAGTGTGTGGAGGGAGCTCTTGGCTCTATTGAAAGAAAAAGACATACTGATACACATCAATCACACACCATATATGGATGAGTGCTTTTGTATATTGTTTTACAGGATTATGTGTCAGCTTTTGTAATGAAGGTTAAAGGAACTGTATATAAAATGTTCTTTAAGTACGTAGTCTTTATTTTGCATTTCTTGTAGGTACTAAGGAAAGAAAACTGTTACTTAAGCAATTTATTTTTTTCTTAAAGTGGTAGTTTTTAAATATTTTACAAAAATCTAAGCCACCCTTCTTATAACCCACCTCCCTTTTTGGGGAAATCAGTTACAGATGCCCAAATCAAAAGTCCTTTTTGTCACTCATTGAAAAGGGGCATGTGTTCAAAAGCCACTGTTCTCAACCACATACATGGAAGAGGTGACTGAACCTTTCCTGTCTGTCCCTTTTAATTTTGTCAGGAAAACCAGTTCTTTAAATTTGCCTAGATGTTGATATACTGCGGTGATACACTGTTCTAAGACAACTTTCTTTTCCTGCTTTTCAGCTGCAGCCCTCCACGCTGCCTCAAAATGCACTCTGGAGGGCTCCCCAGTGGTACAGAGAAGGTTTTTTTTTTTGTGTTGGGGGGACCTGTGAGGGAAAAAGGGAAATTCCTTCAACCCTTTCAGTTTTGCTGCAGAAGTAGTGCAGGAAGAGAAGTGCAGTAGAAAAAATCTATTGGATAATGATGAATGTCACCATATGGGGTGTGTTTACATTGACAGTTTTAATGCTGATTGGCTTAACTTGAAGTAAATTAGCAATTTTATCAAGGCAATTTGCTGAACTGAATTGAAAATCAGGTTAGTTTGCTTTTGTGCATAAAACTACACTCTGTTTTAATAAAAGTGCATTTCTTTATGTTTAGCATCATGCCAACCATTTGGGTAGAACACTGAGCGGATGGGCTTTTTGCTGTTATGTTAGTAAGAAAAATCATGCAGCTACTTGTATCTAATTAGCTACATGTGACTTAAAGGTGTAACGTAATAATAATGTTTCCCCCCCTCTTTTTCTAGACAGATCTTGACTACGTAAATGGTGTTGTAGCAAGTCTAGAAAAAGAGTAAGTGTATTCTACATAGAATGTATTTTGAAATATTTTGGTTATTCCTTTTTCCTTGTAGTTTTTGGACTCCAATAGTCATAATATGCATGAGAACAATTCAGTAAGTCCACTTGCAAATGGCATTAAGAGATTTTGGTGGGTGTAAATGGATTATGCTGGCTTGAAATAAATGGATTGTACTGTATCTACGCTAGAGCTGCTATGTAAGCATTAAGGTACAGAACTGCCGAAGTACTTAAGAAGGTAAAGCATATTGTGGTTTAATTATAGACTATGACTAGGCAATTATGCCCTAGGCTCAAGGAATGTGTAAACATTTCTGCCTTCTGTCTGAGGAAGTGGACTTGTCCACAAAAGCTCACATTAAAATATAGCAGTTAGTCTTTAAGGTGCCAAAATATTTGTGTCTTAATTTTTATTTTTATTTTGTTTTTGCCTGATATGCTAACAGAGACTAATAAAGCTACATCTTCTAAAAAACTCAGTTGATAGAGGGGGTATAGTTCAGTGGCATAACATCTGCTTTGCATGCATGAAAGCCACAGGTTCAATCTGCAGCTTTTCCTGGCATGGACAGAAAAGAGCTGCTCCAGCCAGTGTTAACAGTACTGGGCTAGACAGACAAATGAGAGTTTGATCTTCTACCACTGGGATTTTCCAGAGTGGATTTTGCAGGAGTGCGAGGAACTTAAAATAGGCGAGGGAGATCAAAGTCTTGATATATCCCCAGAAACAAGCACATAAGTCTTTTGATCCTAGTCTGCAGTCATTAGCGGTGTAACTTTTTTGTGGTGATGGGGGACTCCAACTCTCAGAATTTAAGAATTCTGTAGGCAGAATTCTGGGAGTTGCAGCCCACAGACACACCTGCACACACTTTCATTTCACTCAACTGGAACAAGACCTATCTTCCAGGCTGTTCTCGCCTACTGTTGTTAATATACAATAAGGAAACTTCCCCAGTGCTTCCTGGGAAGCATAGGTCTTCACAGGAACTGTAGTCTCATATCCCATTGTGCTCTGTTGGAGGGCTCCTCCAATGAAGGATACATCCCACAATGACCTAGTCACTGGGACCATTTCCTTTGTATACATTAACAGCAGTAGACTTGAGTAGGCATAAGATAGCCAAGCAGTGTGGAATGATAGGCCTTGTTCCAGGTGACTAAACTATAGATGTGTGTATGTATCTCTCGGTCAGCTGAAATTGCCAGAATTCTGGGAGTTGGAGTTCAACAACAACAACAACACACCTTGAATATCCATGCCTTTCTGTACAGTATGTGCTCATTTCAGCATGTAGACTGAGAGATACTAACTTGCCCAGTGCTATCGGGTGAATTGCATGGCTGAATAAACCAGCAGATATAAAATTGTCATCCTACTGGGGTGTGTGGAATCAAACCTTTAAAGAAAAGTTATTCTTATAGTGTTCCCTTAAATATGAAATAATTAAGTTGACCTTCTGTCTATAGGTTTTCTACAGAAATCAGTTCTGGCTTGGTGGAAATAATAGCCCCACCTGCATCCTATTATCCAGACTTGACAAACCTAAAAGAGACATTTGGAGACTCAAAAGAAAGAGTCAGGTAAGACTTCTTCTTTTGCTGTGTTAGGTGGAGAGAATGAATGCTGAACCTAGAGCTTAGAGAAGTTATGTTTTCACATTACAACTCCCAGAATCCATCAGCCAGCATTGGTGTGGTAACTTGAATGTGATATGTTCACAGACAAGGTTAGTTCACATGTTGCATATTTTGTGCACACTGTTCTTCAGGAAGGTCTCCGGCAGAGCTTCCTGAGCCCTTGAATAAACTCAAACAAGAACTTTTGACATAGGAAACATGTGAGACTTGAGACATTATTCAGTACATCTTCTTATTTAGTTATTTAAATGTTGTTTAAGTTTTTGTTGGTAGTTTGCACTGTAATGAATAGCAGGGGGTTGTCTGCTGTTAGTAATCTGTCAACTCCTGGCAATTGGTCTGTTGTGGTGTTACCACCGGGTGGAACTGGAGCCACAGATTTGTTTTATTGATTGATTGATTGATTGATTGATTGATTGATTGATTTGATTTGATTTGATTTGATTTGATTTGATTTGATTTGATTTGATTTGATTTGATTTGATGTGTATCCTGCCCATCTGGTCTATGCGACCGCTCTGAGCGGCTTCCAATATAATACAAACAATTAAAAACACATAGTTACATAAATCTACAAATTAAAATGTGGAAACCAAGAAAATAGAGTAAAAATAAATTAAAGAGAAATGAGACGAGAGAATCAAGTATTGACTGGAAGGAAGGCCTGAATAAACATCCATGTTTTTACTTGGCTTTTAAAGAGTTTTAAGTTTTAGTTGCTACTGTTGAAGATACTGTTCTCCTAAATAACACCTGAATGGCAGAAATGTGTCTAAATATTTCAAGTTAAATACAAGCTGTGAAAAAGTAGGTTGCAACTCCTATCCCTACAATTTTTAAGCTAGCGACTTTTTAAAAATAAATATATAAATGACCCTCATGGTTTCAGGATTTTATGTGGAAGGATCGCACCACACAGAAAACCCAGTGGGATGTAAGGGCAAAACCTCCTAGACTGAAGCAAACTAGACCCGAATGGAATGTCTGTGAACACATATGTTCTGTTGTTTTGCACTGTGGCTGGATTCAGTGTGGACTTTTGCAAACAGGGAGGTCTTTTTCCACTGGAGGATGTGCTTCAGTGAGGGAAAGGCCTACATTGTCAGTTCTTGCTAACTCTTCCTCTCCTCATCACACTTCCCATTGCCATTTCTCACAATGTGCAGGTCACAGAATATAGTAAGTGTCAGTACCCTTTCCCCTCCAATGAAATCTGTTGTGTCAAATGAGCTTTGGTTTCATAATAATGTTAGAAGGTGACTAATACTGGTTGGATGAATCCCCCTGCTTCTCTTCAAAACTGCCCTTGGCAAAGGTTGCCCATGTCCTTTCCCCTCATGCTGCTCAGGAACGTTACCTTCAACATTGCACAGAGTAGCTGGCTTTCCTCTGGCGACTGATGGGAAGTGAGGATGCTGGGGAACCCCTAATGGCTTCTTGGTGTTAGCCGCCCCAGGAGCACCAGGGAACTGGCTGACAGAGAAATCCATGGGGCGCTCCTATTGCTTCTGTTGTCATTACCCACCTGGGTATGCCTGCAAGAGTCAGAATAATCTTCTGCCCCCTCACACACACACATTTGTCATCGGGATCCACTTATTTTATTCTCTTACTGTATGTCTTGCATCTACCAAATGATTCAGTCTTGAATGCTCTCTCACTGTGTGTAATTTTCAGATGGCGGACAAAGCAAAATCTGGATTATTGTTTTCTTATGATGTATGCACAGAAAAAGGGTATTTACTACATTCAGGTATGTAGTCTGTTATTTTTGAGTGGTAAAACGGATACATCCAAAGAATGGCCAAGAACTCATGAGAATGAGCATGACATAAGAGTTATATAATTTATTTCTTACTTAATATTAATCATTGTGTGCTGTCAAGTCAATTCTGATTTATGGTGACCATTTGCAGGTTTTCGAGGTAGAAAATTCAGAGTGGTTTCCCATTCCCTTCTTCTTGGGGTGCTTTGGGAATGTGCATCTTTCCCACAGCCACACACGCTGGCTTTTCTCCCTGGAGGCATGGGGGGGGGGAATTCATCTCCTGGTGTCTGTCTCTGCAGCCAGATACCTTACTCACTGATCTGCCTGAACTGTAATTGTGATTTAGGTGTAATAAATGGCAGCTACCATACACAATGTGGCATATAGATGGGTTTTTAAAAATCACAGGCAATCTAGGACTGCTGCATAACTGCATACACACAGACAGGATTTAGCCCAGTTTGGGGCCCGAAACAGCTGTGACCAGTACTATACACTGGGAACTGTACAGGACTAATATGTCCTTGTTGGTCATGATGGATTTCTCAGCTCCATTTGATTAGATGGACAGTGTTACGTTTTTGGGACCTTTGGCCAGTATGGAACATAGAGCGGTCAGTGGTCATTCTAGTCCTGTTGAGCTGAATGTTCTGAGGTGGTAGTAATGGGGACTATAATTTAGCCATTGGTTCATGTACTGCTTTTGGTCTTCTCTGTTTTTAACATATGAATGAAACCACTCTGTGAGGGGTTCTAGAGTTGCATCTCATAATCATACTGATGATGCCTGGCTCCTTCCAGCCAAGGAGAGATGGACTGGATGTGGATAAACAAGCTGGCATGCAGTCTAGACAAGAAAGTAGCATTGCCAGTAGATAACCTAATCTGGAACAAGGTATATATTCTGGGTAGAAGTGCACTCCCTTTGGATGATAATGTTTGCAGCTGAGGCGAAGATAGCCTTTGAACGCAGCCTTGCTCCTGCAAAGTCAGATGATGCAAAGACTGTCTGTATTCAGAGTCAATTGGTGCCCCAGTTGCACTTGTTCCTAGAGAATGTGACTCTAGCTACCACAAACTTTAGGTTGACAGGAATTTGGTACAAGAACTTTTCAGAGCAACACCCTGGCTGACGAATTTCTTCACTAGACAAGTTGGCTCCTTAGTGTAGTTCTAAATGAGGCATTATAACTTTTTTTGTTCTGCTTGTTCTTTCAGTAACATTAACTGTAATTGTACTGCTGTTTAAATATGATTTTTCTCCTGTTTTGGATTTGTTTTTCATTGTATTTGTTTGCTATGATCCCATATGTGGTTTTCTATATTTAAATTTCTGTCTCTTTGGGGCCCCTTTTAAATGCAGTGGTGCCTCGCTTAACAATTTTAATTGGTTCCAAAAAATTCATCGCTAAGTGAAAACATCGCTAAGCGAAACGCGGTTTCCCATTGAAATGCATTGAAAACCGGATAATCCATTCCAATAGGAACGAATTGCCGTCCTTAAGCGAAAATCACCATAGGAAACATCGCTAAGCGAAACACAGTTCCCCAATTGAAATGCATTGAAACCTATTCAATGCATCTCAATGGGGGGAAAAATTCAACAACAAATTTAAAAAGAGTCAGAACGAAGTCAAATTTGGTTAACAAAGGGTTTATTAAGTGCACTTTATGATTTCACACATTTTAAACAGTAAACTTTAACTTTATAACATTTAAAAAACAGCAAAAATGAAGCTGTTTAAACCATTGTTATGCAAAACAGGGGACCCAAAAATTTAATCGTTATGCGAAGCATGGTCCCAACATCGCTAAGCAAAAAATCGCCCATAGGGACCATCGTTAAACAGAACGCAAAAATGCTCAGAAAAAGGCATTGCTAAGTGAATTCATCGTTAAACGAAGCACTCATTAAGTGAGGCACCACTGTAATAATAAAAAAATACGGTAGGTATTTTTTTAAAAAGGAAAAGTATATGAAGCTAATTGATTTTGTTGCTGAGTTTTAGAAATTTTATTTAATAACTACAAATGCATTATGTACATGATTTTTAATGGAAGGGGGAAAGCTCCCTTCCAGACTTGTAACTGCAAAGCCAAGACTCTGTTTATCATTTCAAAAGCATCTGTGATTGTCAAGGTCATACTTGGTAAATAGACCTTAGCTAGCCCCATATGGCTTGCAATAAGGCTACAGTTAAAAAGAGGGAGATGCACATGCTTAGTTTCACACACTCTTAAATAGCTGGCACTAATTCATTGAAGCTAATTTGCTCCTGTAAAATCAAACAGCTGTGTCATTTTCTTGCTTGAGTGAAGTTTGAAGGCAAAACGTTGTAACAATTATGGAATAGTGCAGTTCTTTTTGGGCCTCATCAAAGTACATTTGGGCTTTCAGTTAAGACTTGAACAGCTTTATACAGGACCTGATTGTTATTGCAGGGGGAATTTAGGGAAGAGGAAAGCAATGCAATGATCTGTGGAGAGATTCCAATTCCCAGTGATGGCTTGACAATAGGAGAGAATGTAAGAAGAGCAATGCTGGGTCAGACCAAAAGCCCATGTAGTCCACCTTTCTGTAGCCATCCAAATGTCTGTGGGAAGTCCCTGAGCAAAACAGGCAATTGGCCCCATTTACTCATACTCCTCAATATTAGTACCCCTTTTAGTACCAAGGCATAGTGGTTTTAAGAGGCATAATGCCTTTAATCTTGGCCGCAATATACAGTCATTATGATTAGTAATTATCCTCTCTGAATTTGCTCAGAAAATAATATTCCAGGCTGAATCAGTTCATCTAGAATTTGAGGTCTCTGGTGTATGAGGTATCTTCAGATAGACACTCAAAGCATGCTCCTGCTGTATTTTTCCTAATGCAGAATTTCTGCAGTGACCTGCCCTTTATAAAACTAGGTATGAAACATACTGTCCTCACATAAAGGAAGGGCTTGCAGGAAGAAAGGGCTAGAGTTTTTATAGGCTGGAGAAGGTAGTCTTTATATTCTCTCCTTCAATAAATATAGCTTTTTGAAAGGTCATTTCATATCCCAGATAATATCCTTCAGAAGTGCATTTTTTTACAATTAAAACCCCCACAACATCCTTCTTTTTAATCTTATTAATTTCAACATTTTGTTTTTAAAAATGCAGTCTTCCATGAGAAGCTCTTAATGATACAGTCCTGAATGGGGTTCCTACCATTATTGCGATAGTAATAAAAGCATACAGCATGTTCATACAACCTTGAATTGGCACTTTGGAAATAAGGATCAATATTAGTATTGTGTTAAATTGATAGTATCTCTCACTTTACGACTGTACAGAGTCAGACTCTATCATGAAGTTTTATTATTTTTGTTGACTGTTGTCAGCTGAAACAGAGCACAGGAATTGCACACGTTGTTGTGGGCAATTCATCATCGGATAGCCAGTGTTCTGATGCTGAATTTCTTTGGTGCTGAGTGATGTTGATCCCCAGCAACAGATGCGCATTATTTTCAAAGGTGTACAGTACTTGAGGATTTCCCAGCCTGGCAGAAACTGCCAGAGTTTGTAGTCCACTGGCACAGCCTCTCGAGAAACCCAGAATCTGCTCCACATTGAAGCAGTGGAACAGAACATCATGGAGGAGACAGGAAAGATTAAACTGAGGTTGATTATTACATCTAATTAGTATAACACATGGCCTAGTTGATGGGCTATTTATTTCTGAACACTAAAAATGCATGGCATCCAGAAGTCAAGACAGCTTAATATAACCAGTTGTGCTTTTCTTTTTCCTTTTTTTTTGTTTTTGCATGCTTAACATAACAATATAAACTTAAATTACACTAGAAAGAAAAAAAGAGTGTAAAATGAGCAAAACAGAACCAAGAGAGCAAAACAAAACAGACAGACAAAAGCTCAATACTGTACAATTCAAAATACAGTACTATGGTATTATATACACTAGCAATAAACTATCTTATTCATTTACAATGAGTCAATGAAGGGCTTATTCTTTTCTTTTTCGAAAAAGAACGTAATTATTGAATAAGCAGATTGATTTTACACATACTTACACAAAAGTTTTCTTTGAGAGCTCAGTGGATTCAGTTTGTGTACTGACACATAACCTGGGAATATAAGATTGCAGAATAAATTTCTCAAAGAGAAAAATTGCCCTTCTTATGTATGGTTTGGAAATGTCTTTACAGCGGTTGCACTTGAGGTCCATAAGAGAGATTTAAATGTGGTTTTTCAGTTAGAAAATCTTTTCTTTTTTCTCTCTCCTTCAATTCATTTCTTTTTTATGTTTCATTGATGTTGCTGCTTGGTTCCGTTAGCTTGAGGATGACATCGTTGTCAAGCAGAATTACTTCAGCACAATAAAAAATTTTGCACTTCAGTTGTCCTCTGAAGATTGGATGATTCTCGAGTTTTCTCAGCTGGGGTTCATTGGTAAGAAACTGCTTTCAGAAAATTTGAAAAGGGGAAGGAAAAGCACCACCTTGTGTTCTGAAAGTGATAACCCACAAAAACTGATATTTTAAAATTTCCAATAGAATTTCATATGGCAAAGGATTATGTGTAGATTGTGGCTTTTGAGACAGAATCCAGCTGCTGAAAAAATAAAGTTCTTCATCGTTGCCTCTGTGAATGCACACATATGGGTATTGTCCGCGCCTGCGCCAACAATCTCCGAAGATTCTAGAGCTAAAAGTAACAATTTTATTGTATGATCTCCCATGAGGCAATGCTCCTCTCCTTCGCCTCCCCTCTCAATTCCCCCCCCCACTGTGCTGAAAGGTTCTACTGAAGAAAGAGAACGATTATTAGGCCTTTGTGCTATTAAATACTTGCTGATTACCAATTACACACTTCAATTTACAATCAACAACTTCTTTCTTTGATCTCCTGTGTGAGTTGCTTCTCCTCTTCAATCAACATTTTTACCTCAAACCGCCTTCTCCTTGGACTCCCCATCCTACATGGTTTACCTACATGGTCTGACTGTCTTTCAGTCATTTACACTATTTCATATGGATTACCCTTGATACAAAGCAGTGATCTTTCCTGCCTCTGTCAAAAACATGGTGTAGATGATTTTTTTAAAAAGAAAGCAGAAATAGACCCTGGGCCTTTTGTACTGCAGTGTAATTTTCCTCATACCTCATGAATGGCATGCACTTTGGTTTGATCTGAGTTCATGTACATATGTGAAGTCCTTGGTCACTTGACAGAAATGGACAGAGCCATAAGCTTACCTTTTTGCTTCATGGAGATGGTCCCTTCAATTGACGTGAACTGGGCAACCTTGTGAGTAGACAGAGCTTTACTAGTAGGACAGTGAGAGAGCAAACTTAGGAGCAGATTGTCATGTAAGAGCAGGAAATTGTTAACTTTTTAAAAATTAGGTAAATTGCGAAAATTTGAAATTATGTACTGTTGCACTACCAGGAAGCAGGGAGAAGGGTTTACCAGGTTTTCTGCTCCAGGTATCAAAATAACCTGGCTGTCTCGGTAGTCTAATCTACACTGATAACATTCTAAATGATTGCTGATAAAACATCATATTTTTTACAGGTAAAATGTTCCAGTCTCCAGACATTACACTCATTGTAGAGTTCATATTTATGTTTTATAAAGAGAAACCTATCGACTGGCTCTTGGATCACATTCTTTGGGTGAAAGTCTGCAACCCTGAGAAAGATGCTGTAAGTTGTATTTATTGTTTCTGACGAATACTTTCCATGATACCTGAATGGAAAACATTGCACCGGGAGGGGAAAAAAGTGATTGTTATCACAGGGTACTCTTGCAGTTTACTTTATTGTCTTTAAAACAAAACCCGATTGAAATTATTGTTCAGGCATCTTTTTGAAGGCATCTCGTACTAATAGAACAAAGAGTGTTCTTATCCAGCTCTTTCCAATCAAAGAGAATTGAGATCCTGATATGATGACATTTTGCAGAATGTAGAAACCTGGGGGAGTTTTTGAAGGTGGAAAAAGAAAAAATACATTAAGAAGTTGAGAATAGGTTAAAATTCACAACACTGATAACTACAATATGCCTGAAATCCAGTAGTAATTTGCAACTAAAGTAGGCCTATTGAATTAGTTGGCTTTTAGTTAGTCAACACTGATGTAAGCTTTTTGATACTGTAGTTGTGACATACTACTGGATTTTAGCCTATAGAGTTACACAGCAGTTAGATATATTAAAGTAAAAATGCTGTCCTCTGAAGATGCCGGCCACAGAGACTGGCGAAACGTTAGGAAGAACAACCTTCAGAACACGGCCAAAGAGCCCGAGAAACCCATAACAACCATTAGATCCTGGCGTGAAAGCCTTCACGAATACATTAAAAATGTGGAGTTCCCCTATCTCGAGTTTTCAAACCAAACTGTTACAAGAACTATAGAGACTCTTTTATTGGTTTCTTTTTCTTTAATGAGAGTCCTTGGCTTCCTTAAAAAACAGTGTAATGCTGCAAATGGAAAATCCAAAATCTAGACATGGGAAATATATTTTGCCTGCAGTTTCATTTCAGATTTTTTTTTCTTCAAGTGATAGTATGTTGTGTTCTTTTCATCTTAAAATACAGCATCATGTCTGCCAAACAGAACTGCCTGGATGTTGAAGGTTAGCATCAGCAGTGCAGGAAATGGCTCTTAGATAAACTGTTTTTAAGCCATGCATAAATAATGATGCATAAATGTTTTATAGTACTTACAAGCTTTTCTGGCCATATTTTTCTTTTAAGAAACATTGTGATCGGCAGAAATCAAATCTCAGAATACGCTTCAGACCTTCCCTTTTCCAGCATGTGGGCCTACACTCCTCTCTAGCAGGAAAGATTCAAAAACTCACTGTAAGTATTAAAAATACAGTTTTTTTTCATAGTATGAGTCTTTATGTATTTAAAGCCTGGTGCAGTATAATGAAAGTTTTGTGAAATGCATGGTACCATTAACATTGTAACTATACAAAACACTGTCACACATAATGATAGGCACATAGGAAGCGAAGTCTTACTGTCTGTCCATCTAGCCCAATATTGTAAGTGCTGACTGGCAACATCCCCACTAGGGTTTGATTATTCCCTGGTCTTATCTAAGAATCCCAGATATACCAGTGGTCACCTATCCCTACACTAATTAGGTCCAACCCAGCTTATCTTTTGAAATCAGATGGGATTTGGTATAATGTCAGTGATGTGGTATAAATGATAAGACAGAGTTGTGGAGGAATCCCGACATTATTTAGAAGCTGATTGCTCTATGTAGCTCCACCCATACAGGGGAGTGGCGAGACAAACCATAACCTGTTGAGTTTGATGTAAAGTCTAGGAACACTGGCTTATCATTCCCCCAATAAGCCAAAGTGTTAAACCATGTTTTTTGTTGGCTTATGACTCTGGCTTATTAGAGCACAGATAAACTACAGTTCCTAGTTTGTGTGTTCCAGTAAACAAACCAATCCACAGGTGGAAACTCAGCGGTTTATTGATCTGTTCATATTTGTTTATTATTGCAACAAGCCAGAATCCTTTTAAATTTTTGTGCGACATGCAAATGCTCTCACTTTTTGTTTTGTCAAACCCAGATATGTTATGGCAGATTTTCCTACTTAATACATTACTGCATAAATGAATGTTGTGCTGGGTCCCACTGTGGCTTTCCTCCCTCAGTTTAGAAGTAGATTTTTGTTTTCGCCTTTCATGTAACCGTGCCAGCTGCTCCAAATTCAGTGGAGAATTGAGAAATTCTTATGTTTATTTATTTTTTACCATGTTAGGTTCAGTTGCTTAAATACGAGATATCATATTTTGCATCGTCTCTGTGGGGAAATGGATGTCCTTTGTAGAAAATGTATATTTCTTAGTGTTTAGTGTGCTTAATTTGGGGAAGGCCCTGGTTGGAACCATACTTCTAAGGGACAAATAAAATACTTTGCATGGGAGCATTTATCATTGTTCTCTTTCATCTCCAGTTAAAAGATTTAATGGAACATGGATGGAAAATACCTCCATTGAGACTCAGGAGAGCCATTGCTATTCTGAGCACATGAATCTAAGCAGCATAGATCAGTAATATAAAGCGGTCTCATATGTATACAGCTTTAATAATACAGTCCATTCTTACCAGGATACTACTGTAATAAAACAAAGACTGGAAAATGTTTGCTTGGAACAAAGTAGAGGAATGCACCTCTTTTCTCTTTTAAAAATTGTGTTTTACTCTATTGGAGTTTTGTTATAAAATCCTTTTTAAACTGCAGAGTTTGATTTTGTTTAATCTGTGTCCGTGGGAGGCTTAACAATGTAAATAGAGAGGCTCAGTATCAGCCAGAATTCCAGAATGAAGGATGAATGGCTGCCTCATCAGTCTGGTTCCCAAAATACTTTGAATGATTTTTAATAAAAACTGTTTGGGACAACTTTGCTCTACAGTTTATGTAAATTGAGTCTGCCCCTAAATCTTTTTATTAAGAAGCATTTAAAATTTTCTTGAAATGCATTGGTGACCGTGTCTTTCCTAGTTGTTCCTTTTTATTATTTCCAGATAATTGTGAATTTCCAGATCTTTTTATTAAGAAGCATTTAAAATTTCCTTGAAATGCATTGGTGACCATGTCTTTCCTAGTTGTTCCTTTTTATTGTTTCCAGATAATATGGTATGTTTTGTTTTTCCAGGACAAGGACTTCCTGAAACCATTATTGCATAAAATTCATGTGAATCCACCTGCAGAGGTTTCTACAACTTTAAAGGTCTATCAAGGGCATGCTCTTGAAAAAGCCTACATGGGTGAAGACTTTTTTTGGGCTGTTACACCAGTTGCTGGAGATTATATCCTATTTAAATTTGACAAGCCTGTCAATATAGAAAGGTTAGTGCTCTGTTTTAATAGCAGAATAAAAATTCTGCTGAACCACATATTCAAACGAAGCTAGAATAATAATAGCACTCTGATTTTTTTAAATTTCTGCCTTTGTGCAGAGGGGTGAAAATGTCCCCATAAAGGTTGCCCCTTCCTGCACTGGTGAAATTGCATCTCTAGAATCTGTACATAGGAGGGATCTAGTATGTTTTTTTTCTATACATGCATATACTGTGACATCCACTACCACTTGAACAATGCATAAATGCAGCATAACTGTGTTAGCAGAGCTGTTTTCACTGTGCTAGTCTCACACTGAACATAGTCCTGAATTTTAGAAATATGTTTTATGTCATTATGCCATATTGGCTCCCCTGCACAACATAATAATCCTATTCAGGTGTTCTAATATGTGGGACTTAAATGCATGAGGAAGGAGAGTTCTCTCCTCTGCTCTTCTCTGTTTTTATTTATTTATTTATTTATTTATTTGGTTTGGTTTGGTTTTTACCCAGCCCCTCTAGACAACATCTACTCGGGGCGGCTTACATAAGTTAAAACACATTAAAACAGCATACAGTCTGTTTGCAAGTTTCACTCATCCACCACACATGGAGGCTGACTGTCCAAACAGCCGATATTCCATTATCTGTGAATGCTGTTTACATGTTCAGGAACACTGGAAAATCACAAAGTTTTTGCTAGCAGACTGAATCTTTGGTTCAGATCATAGGTCATACCTAGCCTGGATTTAATGAATTTGAAATGCTGTTGACATTTTTTACCTTAAGCAATTGAAATACAGTACCAGAAACATGTTCATTCGTAAACTGTCTATGAATGTACAGGTATGATCTCTGTGTAGAGAAAAGCATAGGAGAAAAACATAGAATGATAAAAAAAATACAAGCTGTAGGAGTAAACACTTGCACATAAAACAAGACTGTAGAAAATGGTTATTGCAGCCATTAAAAATAGTATAGCATATAGATCACAGGAATTAATTATCCCTTTACAGCAGTGGTCCCCAACCTTGGGCCTCCAGATGTTCTTGGACTTCAACTCCCAGAAATCCTGGCCAGCACAGCTACTGGTAAAGGGTTCTGGGAAGCAGTGATCTAGAGTACAAACCATATTTGTATAACTTTTTGCATTGTGGCTATGTGTACCCTTCTGCAGAGGAATGTCCCCTACTGGAAGCCATGTGTAATCCATGTCTGACTCAATAAGTGTAAGGAAGGCAATCAGAAACTTTGTAATTGCCCATCCTGGACAGCAGACTCAGCAGACGGTTAGGCTTCCTGCCCACAATCCTCTCCACTTGGATGTGATGCACCAGCAGGGGTGGTGGTGAAGGCTTCTGGGAGTTGTAGTCCAAGAACATCTGGAGACCCAAGGTTGGGGACCACTACTTTACAGGGCAAGAGTAGGGAAGGGGCACAGACCTACACACAAACAGCTCTCCAAAAACAGAAACATGAAAAAGCAAAGAGGAAAACAAGTGACATGGCACTTTTGTGAATAGCAAATTTCTTTCAGTGTGAGGATTACAATTTACTTTTTTGGTCAGTCGATGTTTTTGTTTTTCTTTTTGCTCTTGTTTTGGTTTGGTTGATAGGGCTACCTCTTTGAAACCTCAGAGGAGAAAAGGTGGAGACGGAGAGAACGAGAAGGCCAGGCTTGCAGTTTGTTTTTAGTAGTCTGACTGTGGCTTGGTCACTTTAGCCCAGCTGATCACTCTCCAGATATATTTGAACTGCAACCTCAATCATCCACAGCTTGAATGCCAACAAATCTGCATATGCCCCAAATTGGAGAGGTCTGGTTTAAGGTGGTTTGGCTGAACCAGGCTAGCATTAGGTGAATGGCCAAAACAATTCTTTGTAAGAGTAGCAGATATTTATCCAGTTGTCCTTCTGGCACCTACCTCCTTTGATTCTGAAATGTTTAAATTGTTTCTCTGAATGCTGGCCTAAAGGGTAGAACATGCGGAACATCAGTAGTCGTTTTCATCGAATTCTCTTTCTCTGTTCTGGTCCCATTTGCCTTGTAACAGGCCATGTCAACATTTAGTAATAAAGTCACTTTTGTAAATGGCACATTCTGTTTTATGTGCTTCTGAGGAGACTGTTATAGTAAAGCTTATTTGTTTGAGCAGTGGTTACCTGTAATACTTTAGAGGTATTAACATGTTGTTGCAAGGTATGAACTAACCATTCTTTTCCTCCTGCGATAGTTATTATTGGATAATCTTATTGAGAGAAACGACCACCATTTATTATCCTTCTCACCTTTCGAATACTAGGCAGGCTGGAAATGGATAAGGCCATCCAATTTTAATTGATTGCTTTAACCTTTTCCAGTTTTCATTCTGTAAAGTTAAACCATGGTGTTAAATTGGGGGTGTATCAACTCAGCAGGACTAAGGGCCTTTAAAAAAAAAAAAGGTCCTGGCAGCTGGAGGTTTGCATCCCCAAGGAGAGGAATAATGGGAAAGTGTATAAGCAATGAGACTAGCTTTTAAAAATTATTTTCATTTTCTTCTCCTCCTCCTTTTTCTTCTGGTAAAGATTTGCTATAGGGTTTTTTTTGTTAACTGAAAAGTGGTTCTGTGACTTAGTGGTTTAGGTATCTGGATGCAGAGCTAGAGGCTGGGAGTTCAATTTCCCACGGTGGAATTTCCCATTCCAGAAGAGCCAGCCTGTGTGGCCCTGGGCAAGCTGCACACTCCCAGGATGCCCCCAGAAGAAGGGAATGGGAAACTGCTTCTGAATGTTCAATATCTGGAAAACCCTGGAAAGGGTCATTATCACTGAATTGACAGCACATTATTACTATTAACCAATGACTGATACAGTACTTGGTTTTCTTTTCATTTATAGGTTCCTGTTCCATAGCGGAAACCCTGAACACCCAGGGGATATATTCATCAATACAACAGTGGAGGTGTTGCCTTTTAAGGTTTGAACACAGAACCGTGTTTCTTCCTGCTTTGCATAATCATAAACTGAAAAAAAGAAAAGAAAAAGCACTTACGTTGATGTAAGAGATTGATGGAAGAATAGACTGTACATCTTTATTTTCATCTCAGTTTTGGTGTGGGTTTCTCCCTTCTGTGTGGAAGATCTTGATCCAAACCTAACTAGGGAAGAGGTGCTGATAATCAGAACGTGTATAAAATCTTGTTTAAATGTTGTGTTCCTCCTCTAGCACCCCCATGGGGTGCAGGAGATAAGGGGCAAGATCCAGTGGTGGGCTTCTGCTGATGGATTGGCAGAATCCAGTGATAGCAGGATAGGGTTGTGCTTCTTTCCACTGCTGCCTTTTCCCTCCCTGTGTGCTTCAAAGCCTCCTTTGGACAACTGGGAAACTATTTTGAACTGAGATTCAGGTAGCAAAGCTGCTGAAAGGAGAGGAGAAAATTTCCAGTGCAGCATTGGATTTAGCCAGCAACCTGGGAGGAGCTGAATAATTATGCATTAATTGAATTTGCTTATTTGTGTTCCTGGATTTTGGCATTTTTGTGTGCTAGATTTCTGGGCACACAATTCCTGCTATAAAGAGGAACCCTTTATAGTAGGAATTGTGTGTGTATGTGTGTGTGCATGTGCACACATGCATATTCTCCTTCACAGTAGGGATTGTGTGCCCCATACACAAACTGATTCAGCAAAAACCTATATGTCCAAAATGGTTTCAAAACTAGGACTCTTCTATGCAGGTGGTTAAATCTGCAAAGCTTGTGTTTGATTTTGGGTCCTTATTCCTGTACGCCATCCTAATCCTTCTGTACAGACACTCCCTTAAATACACAAGAGTGCCATTGTTGCATTGATATAAATCGCAAGACAGTATTGGTGTCATGCATGGGTTTCCGGTCAGGCACCAGTGTTGCAGATTGCTGTCAGTTCCTGTTTAGTACTTCCCTCTTTGGGTGCATGGCATATGTAAAGCAACAAACAAAAGCAGAATTCTCTGCCTAAAGCAGCTTATAGTTTAAAATGCAGTTTGGGGGTGGGGTTGGGCGAGAGGTGATGGAGACAGAAGGTAATAAGTGGGGTGGGAAATCATGCTGAGTTCACTTTCATGAACATAGGTTGTAACCCTCTTCCACAAATTAAGAGAGCATCGCCCTGATATATATTGCCCCCTTTGGTTTCCTTTTACTCTTTTGTACATGTGTATCTCCTGGAGCTCACCTGAATGTAAGATAACTATCTTGTTAAACTCAAATGGACTCAAATCTTGTCTGTGCTCAGTGGCTTGAATGGATCCTTTGGGAAGAATTTTTTTTTGCTGGATTGCTCAAGAGGAAGAGATAGATATTTGCTGTTTGAGCTCAGCCTGTGATAATAAATGTCAAGTCCTGACATGGAATAGGACTGACCAGTTTATATGGCACCACCATTCATATTAAGTCAAGGCCAATGTAATATGATGATGTAACACAAGCAAGATGATACTGAAGGATGGGTGATAACACATCTAGCAGTTTATTCTGTTGTATTAGGATTGTGCACTGAGTAATGTGCCTAAAATGTACTCTAAAATGTTTCTCAGTGCCAGCACTAACTGAACAGTGACCCTCCTGGTACATTGGCACAAAATGTCAAAAACCTGCTCCTGTAAAGGAGATCTCTTGGGGAAGAAGCCAAGCTTGTTTGAAGGCTTCTAATAGGCACTTAAGGACATCACCAAGGAACTACTTTCTGATCTGTCTTTCAACACCGTTCTGTGAAATGATGCTTACATTTCTGTATCTTGTTTTTCAGAGTGACGAGCTTGTGTTGAGCAAAGAAACCAAAGAGAGGCGATTAGAAGACGGGTATTTCAGAATAGGTAACTCTGCGAGGTGTTGGTCATAGTTGCAATAACACTGTTTGGTTTTATAGAAATGTGAAAGGAGGATTCTAGTGTAATTCATGCTCAGTCCTACCTACCTATCTGTGCTCAAGCAGTATCCCACAGAAGTTCAAGTGATAACTGTAGGAGCCAGTCTGAGATCCAGACACGGGAAAGGCTGCTTTTTTGAGACGCCCATCTTTCAGGACCTCATAGCCAGCATGACCCGTGACCCTCCTGGCTGTGGGATTCTGGAAGACGTACTCTTTAAAAAGTGGTGCTTCCCATCTTTCCTCAGATCACATACTTGTGCAGTCAGTATCTTTTCAGTATAATTTCCTGTATGAGGGGAATTTTGGTGATTCCAGCAACTATAAGGTGTGAAGAAAATTCTGCATTGCCATATTTAATGCATCATTAGTATAATAAACTCACAATAACTGAAGCACCTAGTCCAGTCTAAGTCCTAATCAGAAAGAGAGTACAGTATATACAATTTTTTCCAGATGAATAAAAAATAAAATAAAAAAACACTGTTTTTCATTGACACTGAGACAATTTATAATCAATTTACACACACATAGGTTTAATAAATATACTTGGTTATTGGTTATGAATCATCATTATCATTATCATCTTAGAGCTGTCGAGCTGGAAGGGACCCTGTCAGGGAGGCACAAGGTGGGAATCCAACTTCTAACCTCTGGCTCTGCAGCCATCGAGAAGTTCTGGTTTATTGATTATTTAATTGTATTTTGATTTAATATCTTTTGAAGAGTTGCTAGTTCAGTCTAGTAGAAAGATATCTAGTCTGTCAAAAACCAGGTGCATGTACATTTCCAGGCCACTGACTTAGTGGTCACCTATATTTTCCCTGGTAGTAATCCTGTGTAGTTTTCTGAGATGTGAACCCCATCCTAAATTGAAATAGACCTACATGTGAGTAGTCTTATCAGGCAGAACCCAAAGGGGAAAAATAATTAGAAATAAAAAAGCATGTAAATGTTGAGTTCAGTTTGTTTAGCATGTTCATTTAGAATAAATTTTTTGTTTTGTTTTTGAAGGCAAATTTGAAAATGGTATAGCAGAAGGAACAGTTGATTCCAGTCTGAATCCAATTGCAGCTGTCCGGCTTTTAGTAATACAGAACTCATCTGTCTGGGCAATTCTAAATGAGGTATGATTTGTGCTTTATAGAAGTAGAGTACTGGCCTGCCCTTGAAAAACTTCAGTTCAAAACTCTTTTTTTCCTAGGAATGTTTTGTGACATTGTGGTCTTCTAAATCCTAATCTCAAGTAGAGTAGGCCCAATGTACCAGCACTTCAATAAACCCCATTTATTCACTAAAGGTGTGACAGATGGATTCAAAGGCATACACCTGATCACACTGGAAAGGATTGTTTTAGTAGGAGTGATCTCCCTTAAAGTGACCCTTCCGTCTGTCAAGGGACCACTCCAGTCAAGCTCTAGAAAGTAAAAGCCCTACTAATGGATCCAAAAGATCCACCTTGGGTACAAATTGGGGGTGGGCTGGAGCACATTTCCCTGTGTTTCATGTGACTGCTGGGAAATAGATCACTGGTCCACAAGTGGTCCAAATTGTGATCTATTTCTCCATGTGATCACATCCTCAGACTATTTTAGCTGGAAGTACCCATGTATTCTAGCCTCTCAGTTCGGTAGCTCTATTAGGAAGGAGTTCCCAGTGCTGGCACAGTGTGCATGCAGAATCTGAAGATGTTCTGTACCACTTGGTGCCTCATTTGTCATGAACGGAGGTCATGTGAATGCTGCCTGATACGACATATAGAACACGGCATAGATCAACATTTGCATGCTGCTTTGGTAGCACATGTGTGATCCTATCTTGTGCTCTCAGTGGCTTCTGCCCAATGTGACATTCCAGTTCTGCTGTTCACTCTCAGGGTATTGGGCTAGATCTCAAAAGGAGGTCTGCCCCATCATTGGGTAGAATGGGGCTGCTGCCTCTGACCAAATGTCAGATCTCTTGAAAGGAGAACAAATTGTTGTTATTATATTTTTTCCCCTCTGAGTTGAGGAAAATTGCTTGTGGGATTTTCTTCCTTACTTGCCAGAATAATCTGCCTGCCTTTGGGCCCTGCACACTCTGGTTGAGCAGTTGTGGGGTACCATTGACTGTTCTACCTTGGATAACAAAATGTCTTGAGCTGGACCCTAGGCCCTTGTTCAAAGAAAGGCCTTTGACACAGCAGGTCAAAACATAGTTCTTAGATCTTGGGGGAAATACGGTTAAATAAGGTTAGGGAAGAGGGTGGGAGGAAATATGAGGGAACTACATTTTCCTCAAACATTAGAGTGCTTTAATTAACCATTTTAACTATCACTGTTTTCAACTTCCTATTTCAGATTCATATTAAAAAGCTCCCCAACTGAGTAGTCAAGAGGAAGGAGCAGAAGGGGAAAATCTACATCTCTTGGAAACTTTTCTGCAAATTCCCACAATCTATAGACTGAGGATGCGAGCGTGCACCTTCCAACTTATTTGTCTCTGAAACTCTACCTCTTGTGAAATCTACTGTAGACTGATCCAGCAAGAAGTGTTTATGATAACCCAGAAAATGATTTTTAGCTGGTATTATTTATCTAGATCCATGGTTTAGCTATTTGAACATGACTTTGCTGCCTAAGGATCACAGTAATCTCTTTAACCTATCAAATTTTGATAGGGTATGCTACATAAAAGTTGTACATATTGTTACATTCCTTAAAAAATTATATATATATATTATATGTATATATATATATAGTTGTTAAATACCTTTTATGAAGGGGGTACTTTTTGGAAGTCCATTTATTTTGCTAATGCAAACCCTCTTTTATAGATTATCAGGGATATATATTCAAAAACATTAGGGATGTTTAATTTATTAAATGGTTTGAAAAGTACATATTTTTATGCAGGTAATAACTTGATGTAGTTTTTTTTTAATGAATGACATTATTTCTTGAGTTATCTCTTAATTTTGCTTTAATAATGAAGTAACCATATTTTGTAATATATACAGTACTGCCATGGCTAGAAGGTTTAAAATTGAATTTGCGAATGAAGCACTTTTGTACAATACAAAGGACATAATCATTTCAGAGGTTCTCTTTCACAAGCATAATTGAAATGAATGGGACTTGGACAGAATACCCCCTCCCCAGGTGTAAGATATGCTGTTCGAAGACATACGCAAGAGATGAAGGACTTTGGACAACATTGCCCATAATCCTCACAGCCCCCAACATGTAATTTTAGCATGTTGAGGAATTTTGTACTTCAGTATGATGCCTGAAATTTGCAGTGATCTAGGATTGATTCATGTCCCGTTAAAGGGAAATTTTGATATTTTTAAACCTTTGTAAAATCTTATGAAATGCAGCCAAGTTACTCCTTTGGATAGAAAATGTTCTGAAACATCTGCCTGTTTATATTTTATTTTGCTTTGCATCTCTTTTGTATGAACTCTGTTCAGTCCTTTGGAATGATTTAATTTACCATTTTATTAGATATGATAATAGAAAATTGTACACAGTAACCACAGCTGAGCTTACAAAAAAGTGACTGTTGAGTCTTTAAATGTTGAAGTGATTTTTTTTCCCTTAAGAGAGCCCCGCTCCCACTACAGGCATTGTACTCCAACTGACTTAAGCAAGAGAGGTTGTGTGATCCAAACAATCGTTGTCTTTTGAACTTCAAGAGAAAAAAATGAGACACTTTTGCTTGGTCAGTAGTCTTGGAAGAGGGGCTGTTCAAGCACTTTGTGCCATGCAGCACACTAAACATGCAATAGTAAATGCTAATAAAATCATTATTATTTCCCCTAATGATCTCTAATCAAGATATGGAAATAATGACCTTTAACCTCACCTTTACATCTGCGATTTACACAGATAAATGAGGTTTATTAAGTGGCAGTAGCTGGTGTCATTAGCTAATTAACTCTTAAATCCTTCTGTGTCTTGGATGTAAGTTTTGCCAAAATATTGTCTTGCCTTTTCTCAAGGATCAGAATTATTTCTAACAATATGGATGCAACTAGTTTTTTTACATCCTTTGCATCCTATTGTGAGCTTATTTCTGAAGAAATAGTCAACATAATATCATGTAGTTTTAGAAGACGTAGCCATGTTAGTCTGTGCTAGCATATCAAGCCAAAAGAAAAGGAAAATAAAAAATTAAGGAGATAAAAGTAAGTGAACTAGTCCATAAAAGCTCACACTAACTTATAGCAATTAATTTTTAAGGTGCCACAATTTTGTGTCTTTTTAATTTTTCTTTTGTTTTGGTTTAAACATAGTATGATGTAACATATTGATCAGGTTTCCAGTTGTTCAAGATAATTGCAGAATTGACTGAAATGTTCCTGCTTTTGAAAAATTTTGAATGGTTGATCCATCTTATATTTATGGAGCAACTTTGATTAAACTCTTAACTTCCCTCTGTGTTTGGCTGGACAGTGAGAATGTGAGAGAAAGCAAGCAGGCATCGGGTAAGAGGCTGAGCTTGAACATTGTGTCTAAGGAGAAAGGCACTTACATGCTTAAGATCAATTTTTTAAAATCTTTCTATTTGGTGTGAAAACTTTCAAAATGTTTTTTAAAGTGTGTTTTACACAGGGAAGGGGACTAATCATGCAAGGAGGATCTGTGAGACTAGCATACCTTTTATTTTGCTCTGAACAAGCTCTACAAGCAACACAATGAATTCTACTGCTGTTTCCACTAATGTTAGTAGTGACATGGCTGTGAGTTCTTCTTGGCTCAATGCTTTATATTGTTCTCATCTTGTTCCTCCAATAGACATTATGATAACTTGTTAAAATCTGGTGCTGTGAATTGAAGGCTGGTCTGACATTTTGCTGCAAATGGCCTGACTCTGTTTTTTTTTCCAGCCACCACCTTCTGGGTGTACTGACAAAAATCACCCCAAAGGCTCACCTACTGCTAAATGGAATTAGGGAAAACATTTGTCAATTAAGGCATGACTCAGTTATCCGTGTTGCCAGATTTAAGGAGGAAGGCAAGTTGCTTCAGCAGTATTAGGTGAGAAATATTCTGGAGCAGGCTTAGATCAGGTATCAATGCTCAGTTCCAAAAGCTTCTATTAACTTGGTATTTAGAGCAGTAAAACATTTAATTCTTGTGCTATGCTTTCTTCCTGGTCCCTTCTCGGGTAGAAAGGAACAGCTGTACTATTCATTATTTAGAGTTGTGGGAACAGTTGGTTTTGGAGAGTTGTTGACTCTGAATGCATTTTGAGAATATTTGAAAGATACACAATAAGGTATTAAGGATAATCATTTTCATCCTATAGTGATAGACTAGAAGAGGGTTTAATTTTACCAAAAAAAAGAGGGTAAGACTTACAGGAGTTTTTATTTAAATGAAGAGTGGATAATGGTGCATAATTTTGGCTGAGCAGGATTGTTACTTTTGTTAATTTTGGCTGAGCAGGATTGATCCTTCAGCAATAAGTACAGACTTTGATAATGCAGCTGAAGAGAACTTGAACTTGCTTTCCAACTACAGAATAGTGTGGTTGTTGCATTACTAGAAAATGAGATTCCACTTTTGGGAGCAAGGTTTAACTTCCTGCCATAAAGCAAGTTAAAGAGCAAATTGTCCCTCCCAGTTATAGTGACTTGGAAAAGTTGTGATGTGTTGAAATTTAACTTGAGTAACTGAATGCTTTATAGTATCTTACATTCCACTAACTGCAAGCTCAACTGATGTTAGTGAACCTGCATCTTAAAACAGAAGACTGTGTCTTACGTAGAGATGATTAAATAGTTATTTCAGATGTCTGCAAATGGGAAAAGTGTTCAAATAACTTTGGTGCTAAGTGTTCCCAATAGTTTTTGGACCTACCTGCTTTTCTTCCCTTCCATCCTGAAAAAGGTTACTGTTACTTTCATGGCTTGTTGCAGGCTGAATACGTCCATTCTCTTCTCCTCCCTGACATCTATACTAATAAACAGGACAAAATAAGTCATTTCTTCTCTGAGAAGGCTGAAACAGATTTGTGCTTTACTTGAATTTATGGCCCTTTGCCAAGGTTTGAACATGCTGTTATGAATGTGTAGGCCTGAACAGTGGCTAATAGAATAAAGACTGCTAGCTGGTTTGAGTTCTTGCTTACAGATGTTTCCTAGGAAAGATTAAATTTTAGTGATTGAATATTGAACAAGAAACTAGCTTACTGTTTATAAATAATTAGATATGTCCTGCTTTCTTCTCCCATCTGTCTGCTCTGTTGTGTTTCTGTTCTTGCCCTGGTGGAATCTGCGATTTCAGTGCTTTTTATTGGAAAAAGTTTCCATTTACTGTAAACTTTCTTTGAAAAGCTAGATTTTGTTATTAATCCTGCTGCTATATTTGAAAACCTAACTGGGTCATGTTAATTGTGCCTTTCATCAATGTGCTATGTGCCACAGTTGCCCATGTAATATCTGAAATAAATCTTTTGAAAACTGCATTCTGTGTTCTTACTAAAAATATAGAACTTTGCCCATATGGACAGACACCAGCACAAAGTTATTCTGGAAAACACAACTACTATTGAAATCAAAGACCTTTCAACAGGACAATGATCCCAAGCATACCTCCAAGTCCACTAGAGCATGGTTGCAGAGGAAAGGCTGGAACATTTTGGAGTGGCCATCGCAGTCACCAGACTTAAATCCGATTGAGAACCTCTGGTGGGACTTAAAGAAAGCAGTTGCAGTGCGCAAGCCTAAGAATTTGACTGAACTGGAGGCTTTTGCCCATGAAGAATGGGCGAAGATACCCGTAGGTCGCTGCAAGACACTTGTGTCAAGCTATGCTTCATGTTTAAAAGCTGTTATAACTGTAAAAGGATGTTGTACTAAGTACTAAGATTGAATGTCACTTGGGGGTTGAATAAAAACTAATAATGATGTGAGCACAGAAAAGACATTTGTGGTTATTTCATTATAAACTTAAGGTTATATTTCTCTGACCTACAAGTGCCTCTTTCATGTAAATGTAAGCAAGATGACTGAATGATCAAAATCAATGTCAAAATGGCCAAAACATTCAATTTCAGTGGGGGTTGAATAATTTTGAACACAACTGTATATCTGTTGCTGAAGGAAGAGATTTAAAACTATTCTGTACTGTCTCTGATAGCAGGATCCTATTGTCTGGGAGTCAACTCATTTCCATACCTGAGCTTTCCGAAGTCTAGGCTAAGCACCAGATGTGTGGAAGTGATCATATTACTTAGAACTCTTGAGAGACCCAACTTTCCATTTCTTCAGTAGGGGCACATTAATCTTTTTATCTCTTTCCCAGATCAGGAAATGTTTATTCTTTTCTTGACTTTTCTAATGTAGCGCAACTCACAGGAAACTCTATAAACACCCATAAGCTGTTACACAGATAATGTGCGATCATTATGAAAGATGATTCCAGTACTGCTGTTTTGGAAATTAACGAACAATTTCAATAACTGAGTTCAAAAGTAACTAAGAATAACTACTACTCAAAACCACAGACACATCATTAAAAAAAACTTTATTACACAGAGATATACACTTCTTTCCACAAAGAAGAAAAGTGAGGCTGCATCTGTAAATGTACTTCTTTAAAAATGGAATATTTTGTACAAACTGATCTACAGTGCAGAACAAGTTATTTACAATAATATACATGGACATATTCATCTATTCTAACATTTGTACAAGTGGCCACACCAACTCTTTTGTTAAGTCCAATTTTGCACTCTATACTTGTAGAATAGGCAAAGTGCTCTTGTCACGTTCCATCCCATTGCTAATGAGACCACATACAGCAGGACAAGAAGTGCAAATGGGTACAGGAGGATAACTGTATTTTTCAAGAACGGCAATGCTGAAAATAAAAAAGGAGAACTTCAACAGAATGCAAAACAGTGGCAAGTAAATAGATGGGCACCTCCTAATTTCAACTGTTTTCCTACGAAAGCTGGAGGCTACTGAGCTTTCCATAAAGCACATGTTTCAAGCTATTAACTGTACATGCATACTTCCCCTTAAACAAAATAAAGTTTAAATGAGCATTTCCATTCCGGAAAAAGACTGGGCCCAAGATATGAGGTCAACGTGGAACAGTAATATTTATGCTCCATAGAGTCTGCATAACTAGTTCAATGTAGGGGATGGGCAAATGCAATACAGTACCTTGCAGAAGTGTGTGAGTGGCTCACACTATGAACCAAAATATTCCACGCTGCAATATGAAGCTGCAGCTTTTAGCTGTTAAACAGAGGGGCATATCCAGGATCTGCCTTTCACAGATAAGTGGTCTACATTCACAGGAAATGCTTCTACCATATTTCCAGGTATTGCCCACAACCTCCTTACCACAACACAGCACTTCCCATTCAGCAGACACCCCACCCTCTAGCATTTTCAGGGAACTTGGGGGAGGCACCCATGAGGCCAAAAGGGCATGGAATCTCAATTCTAGCAGCCCAGATATACAAACTTAAATCTAATCCTATAGAGTGTTAGCTCCAAATTGCAGCTATAAATCATGATCCAATTATGCATCTCAGGACTGTTTTCCTCTTTCCTCTATAGCAGTGGGTTCCCAACCTTGGGTACCCAGATGTTCTTAGACTGCAACTCCCAGAAAGCCTAGCTAACACAGCTAGTAGCAAAGGCTTCTGCGAGTTGCAGTCCAAGAACCTCTGGGGGCCCAAAGTTAGCTTTACAGCCTTCCACGATAACAAAAATCTGCTGTGGAGGCCCTCTAAAGCAGGGGTCCTCAATTCCTGGTCCGCGGGCTTTGCAGGACCAGGCCAAGGGGACAGATCTCCCACCCACCCCGCACACATGCATGGTGGTGTGGTGTGCTCACTTGGGGGGGCATTTGCAGGTGGGAGTGGCACGCTCACAGGTGAGTGGGGCGTGCATGCACACCACACCCGCCCCCATGTGTGCCACACCCACACATGAACAGCAGGGGTCCCCCGTGCATGGACCCCCCCAACCAGTCCTCAGTTCTGAAAAGGTTGGGGACCACTGCTCTAAAGGACATTTTGAAGCTTTTTTTTTGCCAAGTGGTGGTGTGGATAGTTAATTCTAGAGGTAGTGATAGAACCCAGCACTGCTGGGTTCCATCACTACCTCTAGAATTAACTATCCAACTGAATTCTGCTTGTAGCCAGCACAGTCGCTTCAGGTTAGTAAATTTTTAAAATGCAAGCTGAAGCCAAGGCATGCTGTTTCACAAAGCATATCAAATGAAGATATTCTACCGACCCTGCACAGTTGCTGTTGTGATTCTTCCCAACCCATCTTACTGTTCAAGAAAGCTTAAATATATAAGAGCAAGAGGGATATGTGAAACTGGGAGCTTTTTTTAAATTGCTGACTAAAGGAGTCATGATTGTATCATGACTTACCACTGTACCCTAGGAATGTCACATAGATGTAATAACCAATTGCAATCAGCCAAAAGGTATCTCCAATGAAACAGCCGATAAATGAATCCAACATAATTATATCTGCAAGAGATAATTACAGCATTAGTATATATCCATTAAGTAGGAATATTTCAAGTCAGAGAAGGGAAGGTTTACTTACAGTGAATGAAAAACAGTTGTATAAAATGCAAGATGACAAGTAGTGGATAGAAGGCATTTAAGTGAACATCAAAGGCATATCCCCACTCCACATCATAGTCTCTGCCGGGATGTTTTATCAAGTACTTATTGGCAACGAACCTTTACAGGGGAGAATTCAAAACCAGCACATTAAAAACCGTACACAAAGTGTGACATTTCCAATATCAAATAACACAAATTTTATTGCAATTACAGACAATGAAAAATACAGTACATCTTTATTATTTGCACACAAAGTTGATGGGTTGGCAGGAAGTGTCCAGAGATAAAAGGCCATATAGGACACTGTTATAGATTATTAAAACGCATATAAAGAACTTTGATTCCCTACAAGCAGGCTAAGAGAAATATCAATGTACATTTCAGAAAAACCGTTCTGTCCATATTTCAGAATGAACTCAGAACATACTTCTGTAGTCGTCCTGTCATCATGGGCACAGGTATGTTTTCTCTCTAATGCACAATCTCTCTCTCAAATGATAATGACTGATGCATATATGGACTGTTGCTTTTGAAGTAGATTTCCATTTCTGTGGCTACCTTCAGAAGTCATATTCTGATATTTGAGCTAGGAGCTATAGTACCACTACCACCTACCAGTTAAGTAACATATTTAAAGTTTTACAGATTTTTAAACAAAGCTTGGACTGTTTTTTGCTGGTACAACAGCAGACATGTGGGCCTCAAATTATAACCATGTCATACAGTATATCAAACTAATTTCAGTTTCATATATGTCTAAAGTTTAGGACAGCAGTTAGCATCTTTCTGTCATGTTCCGTATTACAAAATTCAAACATAAAAAAAATCTGTCAATCTCCAGGCAATGCATTTTTTTTAAAAAAGAGAGACTTACCACATTAAAGTTGCAATTAGGAGGCCAACTCCTATACAGTCTATAAAAACGACCCAAAGCAGCAACTTAATCATTTCAACAAATCCCAAGCCCAACACAAGGGCAAATACTATAGTGGATACTGGAAAAAGAAGACAAACAGTAAAGAGAAATGAAAAATTCTCAGCATGGAAAAAGCTTAAACTTCAAATACCTCTTGTATGCTCTCATATCACCTTTCACACAGAACAGCCTCTCCAGGTTACCAGACTTAATTGTAACTCCCATCATTCCCAGTAAGCAAGAACCCCAGTGCAACAAGGACAGAAGGCCTCAAGTTGGGGGAGAATAACTTAGTAGTGATCTGAGTGATTTGATGAGTTCCATCAAATGACAAGCCACTATGCACATCCATCCCTTATAAAATCTGCTCACCTTTCATAATCTTTTGCTATCTGGCTAAAAACACCAACAAATTAAATTATGGCCCAAATTCTATTGCTTAACACAGTAAATCACGCTAGAGTCGACTCACAGAATCAATGGGGACTTACTGAGTCAATTGCTACATATATTCCATTGATGCTCCCAGACTATTGGCCTGTGGCAAGTTCAAAAAAACGTTCCCAGGTACTCACCACACAGCCAGATACTGAGTAATACAAGGAAGGCAGGGTCATCTCTTGCCCATTGGTCTTTTGTCTGTTTCCTGTATTGAAAGTTCCGGTACACCATCTGAGGTGAAGTGAATAGATACAGCATCTGCCATAAAGCAAACTCGAAGTCCATATGCCGAAAGTGGAGGAGTCTCCGTAAGTATTTATAGCGCTTTGCCCCTGCCGTGTGCCTTGCTGCCTCCCGAGAGTTTAAAGACCCATTGCCCTGATCTCGGGAGTTAAATGATGTTGTGGGCAGCATCTTGCTAAAAAAAGAAAAGAAAAATGATTAAATATGAAAATAAAACACTTATGAAACACCATGTGCAGATGATGTGTTATACACGCTGAGCTCCAAATGTTTTAAGTGTCAAGCAATAACATGACAACTTTGTAGAGTGGTATGGCACTGGGTAAATAAAAACAGACTGCAGAAACAGCAACAGCAAGCAGAAGTAGAAAGGGTTGGAGCAAGTCAGAAGAGCAGGCATAGGTACAGTAGTAGCACTCATCGTACTGAAAAATAACTTTGTTCACTCTGCACATTGAAACCTACTTTCAACTGAGGGTGCAATACTGTTTCAAAGAACTGCCACTGGTATAAACTAAATATCCAACTAGCTATGTTCAATGCTTATGTGTCAACATGCCTAGGATTACAGGCTATTTGTCCTTAAATTCTCTCTACCCTACCAATATTATAGTGGGCTTGAAGAAGCACCATTATTGCCCAGTTCCAATTACATACAATATATGTTACAGTACTTGTGCAGCCAACGTTATTTTCTTAAATCTTTCTCAAAATAACACAGAGTTCATTTTGTACATTTTAATCAAATCATTTGGCTTTAAGACCCTCAAGCATGTATACTATAACAAAATACAGTAAGTGGGATTGACGCCACTCAAGTTCTTGAACTGAAAACAGGGTCAGGGGCATCACCTCACTCTCAATGGTTTGGTCATAAATCAGTGTCCTAAAAATGTGTTGTTGTGCTGTCAAGTCAGAACCGACTTATAGTGACCCTAATAGGGCTTTCACGGTGAGATATTTAAGGAGTGGTTCTACCAGTACCACTCCCCCAGTGAGTTTCCATGTCTGAGTAGAGATTCAAACCCTAGTCTCCAGAGTCCTAGTCCATCAGTCTATTCGCTACTCCACACTGAGTGCCCCATCCTAAAAAGCAGACTGCAGATTACTGATGTAAATATGTATAACTTTTAGGGTAGATCAGAAAATATTTGGCTGCAAAAGATAATTAGATCAGACTGCAGAAGGCTCCTTGATTAAAATGCTGCCACAAAATGACCAAAATACATAGCTTGTTATATACAAAGACTTAAAATGCTGCCACAAAATGACCAAAATAGGTAGCTTGTTATATACAAAGAAAGATTAAAACATAGGCCAATTTCAGAACAAACACTGAACAAGACAATGTTAAATGCACAAACTTAGAACAAACACTGAACAAGACAATGTTAATTGCACAAACTTAGTACTTAAATGCTGCCTTCTGTCTACCTTCACATGAGAGATTTATATTTCCTGTAGAAATCAAAACAGAAATTTAGCCTCCCTGAGAACTAGGCCTAATAAGTAGCAGATTAACAGCATCATTACTCTCTAAAGTATTTTAAAAGGTCCCAAGCTTCACTATCATATGAAGGCCACTTAACTTTTTTAAAAAGCTTAATGGGCAAATGATTTATAGATAAATAGATATACATAGTAACTAATACATGAAGCGTTGTGGAAAAACAGCAGTAGGTAACAGTCCATGAGAGTATATCCAGACCTCTACTGCCCACAGTCAATACACATTTCCGCATGAAGATATTGAACTGTTATTTTCCCCCAGTTCCTTCCAAACAAAGATTCAGAATAGGCTAGTAAAAGGCTGGAAACATAAAAAAACACACACCACAGGATCTATTTGGATAAGGAAGAACAGAAGGAAAGCAGATTTAGGTAAAGCAACAGCAACAGTGTGATGCCAAGTTAGTTCTGATTTACAGCAGCTCTTTCTAGGGTTTTATAGATAGGGAGTACTCAAAGGCAGTTTCTTCTGGAGGTGCCCTGGAGCTCAGAAAGGCGATAGGGAGTACTCAAAGGCAGTTTCTTCTCGAGGTGCACTGGGGCTCAGCAACGCACCCGAGGCTACACAGGCCAGCTCTTCCCCTGGGAGAGGGCACCGTGGAGAGAACCCAGCTTCTGACTCCAGAGTCTCCCAACTCACTGAGTTATCCAGCCAGCCACCTGGTAGGAGACCTATAGAAGTGGGAATGGGAATGGGGTGCTGAGCGAATTGACGCTCAAAGTGCAAGTCCCCTGTTTGAAATCCTGTGCTAATGGAGCCTGCTACATCAGCATCCTTTTTAAGAAGCAAAC